ATCAACAAATTTTAATACTCCACTTTTTCTTACTGTCAATTGCACTTCCCTAACAAAAGAGAAGTTTTTAGCCAAATCTCATAAATATAATATTTGAAGGTTTTAAAAAAAAAATAAGAGGTCATTGCCTTTTATAGGCAACTCAGCCCTTCCCATCTTCTCTCATTTTTCAATGTGGAACAAAAATAAAAAATATTAGTTTGTCTTTGTGTTTGAAGTGTTTCTCATCTCCTCTCCTTTGTCTTTTAACTACTACTTTATTTCTTGTTAATTTTTTAAAATAATTATTAATTTATTATTATATTAAATTTATTTAAACGGGTAAACGTGTGATAAACGGTTTGACAGGTCTCCCCCGAACACGACTCATTTATTAAACGTATTTGTCGTGTTAACCCGTTTATCACCCAAACTCATTCAAATCTCACTCAAACCCACTTAATTTGTATCAATTCGTATTCATTAATCGTGTCATGTCAGATTTTGACAATCCTACTAATACCCTCTCCAGTACAATCAAAAGCTGACCATACACGTTAGGACTAGAAAAATCATGAGAAATAAATCTTTAATGGTCTGACCCTAAAAATTTGTCAAACTTCAAACTCAAAACATCTAAATTTACAATTTAACCATAATATCACTTAAACTACCCGGATTGATCTGCGTATCATTCAATTGTTTCAAACTATACAATCAGGAGGGACCATAGTAAAACCCTATAAGGGTACCGTAGTGATAAATTTTTATCACAAGGTAGACCGAGTCGTTGAATCTGGGCCGTTTATCTTATAGTACTTTCATTTGTGGGTCCAGCTGGATGCTTAAGAGGTAAGACATGCAAGATGGATATTGGTGGGTGAATTTTAAAAATCTTTATTGTTAATTCGATTGGAAATTATTGTATATTTAATTGACTATAGGCTACATATATACAAGGATATAGTGACTACATTTGAATTATAGGAGATTGAGGGTTCTAAAAGTAAATTATTTACTCAAATGTAACATAAGAGGGAAGTGAATTAAACCTTGAATAAACTTTCTCCTGTTCGTTATCTTTAATTATTCTCCATCTTCGATGATTTGATTTAACATTGTACATCTTCTCATTCGATTCTCGGTAATTAGTGTAACATATTATACTTATTCAATCTCTCGCATCAAACATATGCAATAACTTATAATCAAACTCACAATAAAATAATTAATAATAGAAGAGTATTTGGTCAATATATACCACGCGGGGCAAAATGAAATTTGCATTGTTGAAAATAATATTGGGGTATTGATAATTACAAATTAATCAATTTGTATTATATTCGTACATGGTTTACATTATTAGAAATTCATTTTGACAATCATGATATCCTTTTCTTCAAAATATTGATTCCATATCTATATTTTTTTTTTTGTTGCAGTGTGTTCAGACTTACACCGACTGTTTCGTTGAACTTAAATACTGATAACCATAACCCGATCTAGTTTATAACATGTCCCCTGAAGAACAATAGTGACTAAACCCTTAGAAAATATTGAACCTGAATTTTTTTGGGTTACTGATGATAGACTCGGGTACTGAACCACCCGTAAGAATTATTGATCAGTTAGTTTTGATCATTATAGAGAATTTTGATATAATGTGCGGCAGTCTCTTGATATTTTAAAAACGACATAAATATCAATTGGGTTTTGTGTGGTACACCAGAAAAATCCATTCGAAATTAATAACGACAAATTTTTTAAGTTTTGAATTCCATTTATGGCTACATCTTTGTTGATTTTTGTTATTTTTACAATTTGTAAAATAAAGTTTAAATAATTATTTTGGGAACAAAAATTTCCTTAAAAAGTTAGGCTTATTCTTCAAATTTTAACAGATATCATATAGGGTCATCCATGCTATGCACAAGAGACATGTAATCTTTTTTTTTTTTTGAGTAATACTATTAAGACATAAAAAAATTAATTTAATTTATTGATCTAATAATGTAACAGTTATGTGATTTAACACTATTATTGTAATTATAACCGTCGCTTGATATATAATTATGTCAATAAATTACATCAGTTTTTGAGGTATCAATAACATTACTTTTCTTTTTTCTGTAATTAAATGTTAGCAATTAGATTTATTGTGATTAACATTTTAAGATGTAAATATATAAATTTACTATAGTCAAAAAATTGAAATATAAATTATAAGATTAGCCAGATTGTTTAATTTAGTGAGAAATCATATATATTAAATTTCTAACAAGTAACCCCCGATAATTGTGTCGTTATGCCTAGACTGTGAGAGCTTTCGGTCATATGAATAGTTTAATGTGCTCATAGACGCTTGACCTTGATATGTGGATCAGCCAAGGCATAATAGCACGATTTACTCTTCCTGTTCAAATCGGAGTTTGAAACCAAACTTCTTATCTGGAAGATAGATGGAACGATTCAAGATTCAATGTAGATCTAATTTTTGATAGCTTTGAGATCAATCGAAGTCTCTCACTCCAGTATGTACAATGAAACAAGTCTGCGCATTAGAAGAATTGGCTTTAGGATTGTTTTCAACTTTTCATTATTGTGAGAGATAATAAATGTCATGTCTTTGGACCAAAATATCAAATTTTAGAAATATTCCGTGTATTGACACTTAGTATTCTCAGATTTATTAAGGAAGTGTGTCACGCGATAGAGTTTTAAAAAAGGTCGGAGAGATGATCAGTTACAACCACTTTTGAAAAGAAAGAAGTAACCAATTGAAAGTTACTATTAAGTATTCGTCGATAGAAATAACATTGTCAAAAAAAATGACTATAAAAGGACATTCAATGGAGGAAGAAAGAAGAATTTTCAAATCCTCAAAAGGCCCGCAACAAAGACATTATTTTAAGTAGTTTTAAATTATTTTAGGAGTAGTTAATGTTTATAATTAACGCTGTTCAATCTTTGTAACCGAATCCGTTTCATTGGATTAATAAAATAATTTTTTTATTAGTTCTCTTTTTTAACTTCAACATTATCTGGTAAAAAATCCATTATTTTAATTTAAGGAAGTCCTTAAATAAGACAGTGAACCTATTTCAAAAAATCGCTTAAAAATTATTTGTCAGTCGAGAAATTTTCATCGATCCCAACAGATTTTGAGCAACGGAGTGAGATTATATTAAATTACATTTAACAAGAGTCCTACTTTGCCTGTGTAATAGTCTCGTCCCAAACGTATGTTTCTCCTCTCCCTTTGTTGTAATCTTTCTTTAGAAAAAAAATTCAAAAAAACTCAAATGTAGGATGTAAGAATCTTTAATCATTATTCAAAACGTGACTTACACTTAAATTTGAGTAAAAATAAGATTTAATCGTCTATTCAAACTTATATTAAATTAATAGAGATCTAAATTTTTATTTAAATCAAAAGAAATTTAAATTTTTATTTAAATTTTCAATTGTCAAATTTGAAGTGTTTTGTATTGAATTAATTTGTTACTCAAATGTTGAGTAAAATTTGAATGAAAATGAATCAAGGTTTGCGATAGCATAAAAGGTAGTTACCATTGGGCTTTTATTTTATTTTATTTTTTTTGGAAACTTGACAAATTAGTGTTTGATTAGTAAAATAGATGAATATAATAATAAAAGTAGACCATCCAAATGAAAACAATGGATCATGTTGCAGGGAAACGTTTTCAACCCCACAAACTAACAAGGTCCCATTATTTAAGAGATAAGGACACATTAACCTACTTACTTTGTCTCGTTGCCTAATACTACCACATTTTCTCTCTTTTTTGGTATGAAAATGACAACACTATGAAGTGCGAAGCATGACTATGTAATTTTTTGTTAAATACTTTTCATACAACTTAAGGGCGAGCTACACTTGTTTCTCTGGTGATTATGTTTTAAACCCGACTATGGTGGCTAGTATCCGAGTTCGATAGAGTAGTTGGTGTAAATCTGAACACCCGCTAGCGGGAGAGAGAGAGAGAGAGATTAGGTGGCAAATTATTTAGGGATAATTTGGGGACAAAAATGCTACATCTATCAAAACTTTTATCAAATTTTCTATCCTAAATCAATGTGACCCATAGAATTAATAGGTCTCACATGCTTTCACTAAATATTCAATGATCCTCAATCTGCCATATCATTTGGGATTTACAATTTGATAAAAGACTTGGTGGGCATAGCATTTTTCATTTGGTGAACATAGTGAGTCAAACAGGTTCATATAAAAGAAGCTCGATAAGAAATTTACAGCACAAAAACGCAGCCAAGGGGAGGAGGGGGAAGAATCAAATAAGAAAGTTTTCCAAAACCCTAATTATACACCTCTGCCTCTGATTTTAGATCCACTCTTGCACTAGATTCTCCTGATATTAAATCACAACCGTGAATTTAATGAACCCACTTTATTTAAATGAATTCCGTCAATACTCGGTGAATGATCTAGCACTAAGAGAATCAATATTGTATTAGATATTAATTCTTAAGTTAAATTTCTTGCATAACAGTCTTTATATTCGACTTACTATCTATCCATCCAAATTGGATGGTTCAATGATTGAGTTTGATATTTAGTAACTCAGATGTCTCATGTTCAATCCTTTATCACACCCCTTAAAGGCTAGTCATTCTTATCTTTTTAGATATTTATAATATAAAACATGACAAGTTTCAATAAATTCAAACTCATCTGGCGGTCTCAAATAGACTCATTCTACTGCTACAAACATTTCTCTCGAAATTATTCACATTACAGCGTATCTTCAGGTAAAGTTACCCCTAACATGTTCTAACCTAACTCACATTACAGTGACCAACCTTGTGCTCAAAGAAATAATCAAGTAATCAACACAAGTCTGAACACTCTATAGTAAAAAAAAAATGATCAAATTACTAAAATTCAAAATTTTCATTGTTCACTAGTTAATTTACTTTGGTGAAAGCATATTGCCTCACGAATTTTGTCATAGTAAAATAAATGGAAGTTAGATGGGAGTGGATTATACAGCCAGAGACAAATCAAAGGGTTGTCCATTAGGATTGGGCATGTACAAGCCTCGACTAGGCCAGAATTGATGAAAAAAACAAGAACATAAAATAAAAGCACATACTTTTATTATACTCGCAGTCAATTTCACAAAATTGTCTGTGAGGAAAGGAGAAAAAAAAACGAAAAAGGCCAAAAAATGATGACCTAAAAACTCATTGCCCTGTTTGGTCTCTCACACTCCCATCATATTTAACATAGGAAACATTGTTACATTAGGTGCAGCAAAGACATACATCATATTTTTTCTTACATACCAATCCAGTAGAGTTTGTGCTTCTGAGCTGTATTTACAATGAAGCATTGAAATATTAAAAAGCAGCAATCATAACAACAGAACCGATATTTCAGATTGCAGATACTGTATTAATCATGCACTCAACCCCTTGTGGAGAGAGCTCCAAGGATTTGAAGGAATGGCGACACAAGCTTGCGCAGATGCATCAGCCATCTGCTCCTTCTGAATTCCAGCGTTGCAGATGTTAGCAATGGACCGCATATGTTTCATTCCATACTGGGATAAGGATCCGCAATGTGTCTCAAATGTCCTGACCTGGAAAGAGAATAAGAATACACCATTTTCTCAGAAAATATGTACAACTTCCAAATTCTTGTTTAAAAAAAACGAGCCCAAAGTTCAACTTTTTTTCCACAATTTGCATTTTCTTCTGTTTAGTAAGACTAATAACCGAACCCCAAACCCTCCCCCATCTGTATTTCCTTTTCCATCATGACAGGAGAAATTCAGCAATAAAGAAGTGGGATATAATAGAGCTGGGAGTTTTACATTAATTATAATGAAATTGAAAGGATAATGGCGACAAAGAGGAGGTAGGAAATTTAAAACTTACCAATGTCTTGAGGCAATTCCAATCATCAACAAGAGGCTGCCCAGCAGGTCGAACAGTTGTCAAAACCTCAGGACCTTTGTCAATTCCGAACAACAGCTTCCCAACAAGATTTATACTGTTGTCCACGTGCATTCTATGTGACATAGCTTCGGTAAATTGCTTCTGGGCTTTAAATTTCCTAGCAGAGCCTTCTGGAGCCTTGCGGAACTGCAGGATGGGTAAGTTTTAACTGTAAGGAAAATAGGTGGTTGTTTCACTACTCATAACTTCCTCTAACTAACTACAAACAGTTGAAGCACGAAATCCACATGCAGGGTATGGCTGCGTACATCTGACCCTCCCTAGACCCTGCAGTGACAGGACCTTCTTTTTTATCCTGCTAATTCTTTGTTTTGAACACCAAGCTTCATGGCCTTCTTATATAAATAAATTGTCAGACTCTTTCTCACATCGGGCTAGTGGAGTTACTATTAAGATGCCTAAGGTCGTTGAATGCAAAGTTTTGCCTGGAAGGGCTTCTGAAACTCCCACCCTAATATCTTAGCATTAGTATTAAAAAAGGCATTGGATAGCATCGTATCCAAAAAGTTTCTGGAATTGTTCCAAGGATCGGTTTGCAGCATTGAGTTTTTGCAATTTTCCCTACTGCTAAGTTTTCCTCTAATAATTCCAGTCCCTGAATCGTAGCACCCACTTTTTGATAGCTCCTATCTCAAAAAAGAAGCTCAACATGGTATAACGAGAATTTTACACAAACCTTGTGCCAGAAATGCAAAAGATCAGCATCACGCTGGTTAACAGCTTTTGAAGTTGGGCTCAGGGAGTTGTCATCCACAAAAGTACAGTTATCATTTGCCGGATCTGTTCCCAAATAGAGGAAAAGGTCTTCCCTGCTAAGCTTCAGATCGCCATATTGCATGACATGGGAACCATATAAAGAGTTATCATTTGCAGTTCTTCTTTTAACCTGCAAATTCCAGCAAAATGAAACTAGAAAATCAATCAAAGAAATATACCGAAACATACAAAAGGAAGGCCTATCAAATGTTCTGCAGCAAGACTCCAAACTCAACATCTATACTGGTATTGGCACTTGTAATATACGGGAATAAAATGTAGGGCCACTGGCCACAATGTCATTTATAAAAAACGAGGTTCATTTATTTAATTGAGACTAAACTCATGATCATAGCAAATTGAGAGTTTAGTATGTAGCAAATTGTAAAGCATAAAGAGACGGCCACAAAATCTTACCAGTTCATACTGCTGGTGCAGTGTCTCTATCCGCAGATTGTGTATGTCACTGGTCACAAAGTCAAAGATTAGTTTTCATCCACATAAGAATTGCATCATTGAGCAGTAAATAAAAAAAAATCACAGCCTAATTTTAAAACACCAGATGATTAGGCTCGGCCATTGAAAGCCAAGTGTCTGAATTACAGTTAGAAGTTTCCCGAGGTCATAAAAATTGAGCTCAAATCAAATGCCTAACATTCAGCCATTCATTGCTTCTCTGTTAACATACAAACATCATCAACCCCCGGAAGAGGTACAGAACTGGGATATACAGACACAATACACACGCATAACAACCCAGCTAAAGCAAGAACAAATGGTTGGCTTCAGTTATTTATTGCCCAAACATAGAAAATAACAGGGATAAATGCACACCTGTCCTCCATCCAGGCAACACTATATAAGTCACCCAAACATGTATCGTATTCAGGGGGAGGACTAGGATATTCCCCAGGGCAGTATGTTCCCCAGCTGCTCTCTTCTGCGTTTGATGCAGTGGTTGCATATATATTCAATCCTTCAGGAAGAAGACCCTCAAAGATACTTCCAGACTCACAAGCTTCAAGGTAAAATACCTATTTACAATTATAGAGCAAAAAAACTAAATTTCACTAAAGCTGATATTAAATGTTCCCAGTAAATGAACACAAGCAGCAATTTACCAAGCTTTTATATGTCCCAGAATCGTGCTTCTTCTTTAGAACTTCTATCAGATCTTCTGCGTAGATGTAAGGATAAGTAGGCATCCCTGTGGACAAAAGAACAGAATATAAATCATCCAAAACCAGAACTCCTTAAGTCTAGTCTAGATAGAAAGTTATACCCGCGAGAGGATGAATCCAAGACTTAAAAAAATTTCACAAAGGTTTTGTTCAAGTGTTTCATGAAATAATATCAAGTTCAGTAAACATACTAGAAAATGGAAGTAATCATATAAATCACTGGCTGCCAAAATCTAAATTTCATTGTTTTTGTAAATTTAAAGATAAAAAATTCTGCAACCATGTTTACTTTAAAGACCTGTATGCATGTTAGGAAAGAGACAACAACAAAGTTTCAAATTTTTAGCCTTTTTTTCGCCAAAGAGAATTTTCTGAAAACATAACTTTTGAACACAACATCCAAAAAGCATCTGAACTTTTAATTTCGAAGTCTTATACTGGAGACAATTTTTAATGAATGCAATTTTTTACCACAACTTCCAATTAGCAAATTAATGCCCAACATTATCATAAGTTATGATGGCCGATTTTAGTTGCCATAAAATCTGAGGAAGAGAAAATAATACTAAATTTGGAAGCTTATCATGTGATGTGAGATAATAACTTTTCGCTTTCCCCTATCCTCTCAGCAACCAAATAGAGCATGAAGGATACTTTTAAATTGAGTTATCACGCTTTCCTTGGAAGCATCTGACCTATTCTCTGGTCATATCAAAAATTTAAGTTCCCAGAAAATGCAATATACCAGAACCATCCAGATTTAACTTTCGAAAGATACAAGAATTATTTATGATTTGCTTATTTGAGGTTAGACCGTAAGTCATGCACTGCAGGAGGCAAACATCATCTCTAATCCGCTTATAAGAGCTAACGCCAAATGTTTGAGTACCAAATGCAAGTAGTCAATTTTATCAAACATAGAAAAGAATGTCATTTCCGGCTGAAATCAGACTCAAACGAAGTAAGAATCCAAACAATTATTACAACAGAGTTGCTAACCAAGAACACCAGGACCACCGTGATCGGTGTAATATATGAAAATATGATCATTCGGACCACTCTCAACAACCTTCCCACTACCACCAGTAACAGCAGTTTTGTTTCCTAGGATAGCTGCAAAAAAGTTGCCAGCAGTAACATCATCCCCAGTATAATCCTGCATCAAGAAAATCCACCATCTGAAAAAAGGAACAACTTTTCAAATTTACAACTCAGTTAATGCGTGAACAGAAGAAATAAACCTTTGGCACTCCTTTGTAAACATCATCACCCTGTGGACTGTTTATGATGACTCCAGGCCTAGGGTTCTCTTCATCATACGCAATGTCATCATACATGAAAACAATGATGTTTTCATCTTTGAGGCCACCCCTCTTCAGAAGTTGATAGGCATGACATACATCAGCCTGGAACAAAAAGAAGGGCCCAATAATAGAATTTATCAATTCAATTTAAAACAAAAAGTATAAAAATGGAGACTACTCACATTTTCCAATTTAAAAAAAGAAAGGAAAATCCCCCTAGAACAAGAAAATTATTGCACGAAACAAACGCAATGATATTCATGCACTATTGTACCGCGGACACAGTCTCTTAGCCAAGCATAAACAGGTCATAAGATCTGTGACTTAAAACCACAGAGATAAATAAGATGGACTGAAGTAAAGTCAACCTCCTTCCACCAGCCTTTGCCTTGGGTCTCCTTCCAACCATTCCTTACAGAAAAAAATCCCAACATCCATTATCTACTCCTTTTTAAAATGTACCGCAATCCCTTGCTCAGTTCCAGCAACACCATATGCCAGTTCTTATTGAACTGTTGACTAGAAAATTGTAATGCCACATAAGCTGTAGCAACATGAATGGCATGACCAAATACAAATGGATCTGTGAAACCATTTGGAAAGAAATTGTCATAAGCTGCATAAGCAGATATCAATTCAGCACTCATGCACATGAGTTAGGGGATGCACAGAACGTAAGTTTAGCATTTAATAAATCTATGAGGAAGATCAGAAAGAACACAATACAAGGTCTTACGACATGATCAATGTACACCACAAGTCAAATACTTTCCACCTGATTTCAGTTAATGCCAAAACCAAGTATTTCGGGTTACTGCATTAAAGGTGGTTCTATAATACGACTAGTATACAGCCAAGTGGCCCATCCAACCATCAAGTGTCCCACTAGGATCCCCATAGGACTCCAAAGAAGAATCGTAGAGGTTTGTTGATCATAAATTATAAGAAGTCCCTGAATACGATAAAATAAATAAAGGCCAACAAAAATGCAAAATTAAAGTAAATAACTCTTCCAAAAAGTATGAAGATATTAGTATGCTATGTAAGCGCTTCATAAGCACACATTATCTTAGGCCAGACCTCAATTGTTTAGTGAGAAAAGAGAATAAAATGAATAAAATTATAAGGTGTAAATCTTCACTTATATAAAGTTTTGTGTCCCAAAACTGATATATACTCATCCAAGGCCAAATAATGTTAATAGATAACATAAGTAAAAGCAATTTCCTTCTATCTTCTCAGATTCCAAAAGCAAGCATCAAAAATAGTAACAATCATTTTTAGAAGAAATTGACATATGGTTGATCACCTGGTGCCTGTAATTCCAGTATCCGCTTGATCCAGCAAGCAGGACCGCCCATCTGGTCCCCGCAGCATCATCATCATCGTCTTTACTTTTCTGGTTCGGACGGAAGAACCTTGCAGCCTCCGAAGGCAATCTCAGCACATCATCAACGACGTTACGGCTCTCGACGTTGAAGGCGACGGTCGACAGCAACAGGAAGAACAACGCACCGACGGCGTACCGAGTCATCGTCGTCTCCGGCGAGATGTATCGAAATGGTGTGAATTTGTTGGTGCTCATAGAATCTATGGTTGTACTGCTTATATAAAGTTCATGTTTGACTTTTGGACCTTTGGGATACCTGACGTGGATCGATGCAATTGGTTGATTGTGCCGGGGCTGCTGTAGGGCTATGTTCGGGTGGGCCCAAACAAAAGTATAAAGAAAGGGTTAATTACGCAAGAGAGCCTCTAAATTATGTAATTTGTGTTAGTTTAGCCTCAAACTAATTTTTATATCAATTTAACCCTTCAATTATATAATCTGATTCATTATAGCCCTTCTGTCCAAATTTATTATTAACTTTAACGAACAGTTTGACGTGCACATCACGCGAGTTAGAGATTAGAATAATTAGACCATATTTGTGATCTGCACATGAAATGATCCTTTAAAATCAGCAACCAATTTGAACAGAACAATAACATTTCAGTTATAAGTTTATGGACCATACATACGGGTAGAGTTGCGTTGGGGGGTGCATGATTGCTTTTCCTAGTTAGGTCACGTGACTAGCTTGTGTATGTATTTTCTAGAAGCTTTGTTCAATATTGTGTATTAAATGTACCGACGTTGTTGTTTAAATGTTACTGTATGACATCTTAGGTGATGGTTGACGTTAATTGTTCAAAACATATTGTTGGCAATTGAAAATGAGTGTCCGAGTCGTCTTACGTGTATTTCAATTATTTTTTTTTTTTTTGTTTGATCAAAGACAAGTCATCTACACCTGAATTAGAGTATATCCATTAAAGATAAGGAGTCATCAAAATTCAAACTCATGATATCTGAATTTACAATTCATCTCTGTTATCAGTTGAACTATTCTTTGAAAGTAAATAAATCCCTTCATCAGAGTTGAATAATCAATTTTTCTAATTCGATGATTAACTTAAAAATCATTGTAGAGTGCGGAAACCAATGTTTAATGGACTCATATCAACCAAAAATACAAAAAAATCTATCAACAAGTGAAAAAAAAAATTGAAAGGAATGAACCAAAAAAATGTGCCCATGCATTTCCTTTTTTTTTTTTTTATTCACTAGATAATCGTTAATTGATAATACTGTAACGTACCATATATTTGACTTCATGAATGAATTCTAACATGCTGGTTTTTTTTTCTTTTTTGGGTCGATAACATTCTGAGTTGTAGCACATATCTATATGATCCAATAATATTTGGCAAGTCTAGTAGATGAGACTCTCAAAAGGATTAGAAATATGTAATTATATTTTGTTTGGACTTAAAATATAAAATAATAAAAACATTTGATACATGGGTAATTTGTAAGCCTAAAGATATTAAAAAATTGCCACGTGTTAGAAGCTGAATAAGATGCAGGAGATAATCAATCATGACCTTATTTGAAAAAACAAAAGATATAAAAAATTGCCACGTGTTAGAAGCAATAAGATGCAGGAGATAATCAATCATGACTTTATTTGAAAAAACAAAAGAGTAATTGTCTGGAATTACAGACCATTAACCGTTGATGAATAGAGACAAACTATAGAAGAGTGTGACTATAAAAGGCGAACAAGAAGGAAGTGGAAAGACAACTCAAATTCCCCACAAGACCCATGATCGGGAAATTTAGAAGTAATGTTAAAGTTAGTTTTAAAAAATAACTAATGTTGTAATCAAAGGTTGTTAATTCAGTCTCTGTATAATTGAAACATATTCCATTGGTTTAATAAAGGAATTTATTTTTATTAATTCATCATTCAGTGTATTCATCACTTTAAAACCTCATCCAAAGAAGTTTTGAAACAAGATAATTGAATCCATCCACAAGTAATTGCTCGAAAACTATCTATCGATTAAGATATTCTGTCATTCACAACAATGCAACATACTTCAATACAAAAAATATATATTCATGAAAAGGGACACACAATCATTTATAAATACTTTGCCAGTTCCCACAATGGCACGTCAAGTCATTTGCCCTACTAGATTTGTTAAAAATATAGAAGCCTATTGTCTTTTGGCTTGCTAATCAAACCCATCCACATCTTATGACAAAAATGGAATCTACTTGGTGTATATGTGCACAAGAGAAATAGAATACCACTGATTGAATAAGTTGTACTGATAAAAACAAGTAATCACTTATTACTAATATCATTTTGGGTGTACCTTTTGACAACAACTTCCCAATTTAATTAAGCCATTTGATGTGGAGTTTGAACAACAATGCTAACTAAATTTGAGTAATGTTAGATGGCTAAAATAAAAAAGGGTAAATAATACTTTTGATATTTAAAGTATGTCTTTTTTTTAATTTAGTCCTCAATGTATTAATTTTATCATTTTAGTCCCTAAAAAATTCAAGGGTTAATCTCATTTTGCACCCCGAAAGATTGTTCGAATCTCAATTTACACCCTCAAAGATCAAAAATCTCAATTTACACCCTCAAAGATAGAAATTTGTATCAATGTGCACCCCCAAAGATCAAAAATCTCAATTTGCACCCTCAAAGATAGAAATTTATATCAATGTGCACCCCAAAGATAAAAAATCTCAATTTACACCCTCAAAGATAGAAATTTGTATCAATGTACACCTAAAAAGTAAATTGATAAATTATACCTAGATCCCCTTATACTTGTCACTTAATCATTTAGACCTCTTAGAATATTACTCCTACATCTTATGACATTTGTGCACGTATAACACGTAACTCATTTTCATTGATATCTATTAATATAACCGTTAAAAAATATAATTTTATCCTAATAAAAATTTATAATTTCATATTACCCTTTATTTTATGGGTTTAATATATTCTAAAGTTTAAAATCTAGTTTACCATTGGAATGTCTAATAAAATGTAAATATTTATATAATGTTTTTCATATTACCTTTTATATAAATATCTACATTTTATTAGACATTCAAATGATAAGCTTGATTTTTAACTTTAGAGTATATCGAATCCACAAAATAAAAGGTAATATGAAATTTTAATTTTTTATTAGGATAAAATCATATTTTTTAATGATTATATTAACAGATATCAACGAAAAGTGGTTATGTGTTACACATACACAAACGTCATGAGATATAAGAGGAATATTCTAAATGTGAAGGAGTTCAAATGATTAAGTGACAAACATGAGGGGATCTAGGTATAATTTATCAATTTAATTTTAGGTGCACATTGATACAAATTTCTATCTTTGAGGGTGAAAATTGAGATTTTTTTTCTTTGGGGATGCACATTGAATACAAATTTCTATCTTTGAGGGTGTAAATTGAGATTTTTGATTTTTGGGGGTGCAAATTGAGATTTGAACAATCTTTTAGGGTACAAAATGAGATTAACCCAAAATTCAATATGTATCATTTTTGTTTTTACATAGGCGGACCGTTAAGTTTTTGACAAAATAATCACGTATTGGACACGTGACACTATTTAAAAAAATAACACGTAGTTACGTCCATAAAAAACATGATAGATTGTCTGATTAGTAGAGCTGTCAAAATTCGACACGACACGATTAATCGAGACAAATTGACACGAATTAAGCGAATTTTGGTGAGATCTTAATGGGTTTTTGTGGTAAACGAGTTTGACCCATCAAATGCGTTTAACAAACGGGTCGTGTTTGAGTGACACATGTTCAACTGTTTATTATATGTTTACACATTTGAATAAAATTAATATAATAATAAATTAATAATTATTTAAAAAAATTAGCTAGAAAAAAAAGTAAAGAAATTAATTAAAAAAAAAGTAAAGTAGTAGTTCAAAGACAAAAGAATGGAGATGGAAACAGTTCATGACAAAAGCAAACCAACCTTCTCTTTTTTTGTTCCACGTCGACAAATGAGGGGAGATGAGAAGGGATGTCTTGCCTATAAAAGACAGAATGACCTCTTGAATTTTTTTTTAGCCTTCAAATTTGATTTTTATGTAAAATTTGGCTAAAAATTTCTCTTTTTTGAAATAAATACAATCGACAATAAAAAAAATGGTGTATTAAAACTTGTTAATATAATTTTTTTTAAAATTAAACGGGTTAAACGAGTCGTATTGTGTTACTCGTTTATTAAATGGGTCGTGTTTGTGTTGAAATTTTTCACCCGTCTATTAAACATGTCGTATACGGGTTTACATGTTTATTACCGGTAACCCGTTTAACCCGACACGTTTGACACCCCTACTGATTAGGGACCAAAGTGACACGAATTGAATATTTTATAGAGTATATTGACAAAATTGATATACTGAAGGCTAAACTGACAAAAAATACATACTTTAAAAACCGAAAATACTATTAACCCAAATAAAAAATTGGGATCCAATGATGTGATATTTACCATAATGACAAAATTTTAAATTTTTAATGTGTAAAAATCGGACCAATAATATCATTATGAATACCTTAAGCTCCTTGAGCTAGACCAGGCACAATTCAAACCTACAGGCCAAGTCCACCATAGGGCTAAGAAAGTACACAGAATTAAGGAAGCTCAATTGGGTCAATTATGCTACCTTGAAAAACTCAGTCTATAAATGACACACGAGAAAATCTATGTGAGACGCAATTATTCGGTGAACGTTGCCACCTCTATGGGACTGTCTCGCCTGTTATGAGAATGGTGTCACCTTCACTGAACTGCCTCATATGTTTCGAGAATGACGCCTCAATCTGTTAGAAGATACTTATAAATTATAAGTTTCATCCACACAACGAGGATATCATTCATATCTGAATACTCTACACTCCTTAAACAATAAAACACTCAGGCCGCTATAACCCTTTATTTTGTAGTAGGTCACTTTGACCGAACCACTTAATTTATATTTATTTGTATTGAATTAATACTTGACAGATGATACATAAACATATATGAATAATGATATGTATCCCAAATTTGCATCTCAAATCAAGGAGGACTATTAGATCAATGGATCCCATCAATTTTTTTAAATAGGACCTACTGATCCAATGGTCCTCCTTGATTTGAGATATATAACACTACTCAACATATATTGTGCATCAACACTAGAAATAAATGATATCATGATTGAGTAACAAGACAATACATATCTATCCTCGTGGTGAGTTGAAAATAATGTTAATTTATCTTCTTTTCATTTTTTTTATTTTTATTTTTTATCAAATATGATATTTTTATCTATTCTTTCAAGCTATCATTTTTTTTATCATATCAAATAAAACATTAGTTCCACGTTTTGTTGTCATTCTTCTTGTTCAACTTATATCGGATCATGAATTATCTCAACTAATTATAATTTTACCTTGAAAAACAATAATTTTATGGTATAAATTACTTGAATCAGTTATAACTATTTATTTGCGAGTTGCAACTTGACAGTTAAAATGTATAATTTTATGATCAATCATAACATTTTCAAATCGATCATAATATTTTCAAATTAATCATATATTTTAAAGTTACAGCTTAAAAATAAAATAATTATAATTTGGTCTCCAAAAACTATAAATTCTAGTACGCCCCCACCTTCGATACTGTGGTCCATTATGCTACATATTCTTTTGACTTTCCAAAAAAGTAGACATTAATTTCTGAGTGGAAAATCATGTTGCAGAATCAATTCAAACAGCAAAAACGCATCAACGCTGATGGGGCCCTGTATAGTGATTTTTTAATAAGACATCATGCATTATTAATTCAAAGTGATTTGGGTGCGTCGATTAATTAGAAATTCATCTAATATTACAGTTAAAATGTGAAATTTCTAACTTGTAAAAGTATAACACCGATGAAAATTAATTTAATTTTTATCTATTTTGATCAAATAGTATAAAATTCACCTAATTTTTTTACCTCAAAACATCATATTTTCTACACGACTTTTAATGTCAGACAATTCAATTAACACACACCCTAATGTCAACTAACTTCAATAATATATACCTACCTTGCTTTTATTTTCTCTCTATTCACTTAATTTTTAAATTATATAATTAAACAAAAAATAAATTTATTTGAGATTGGCTTGAAAAAGGACCCAAATGTGAGAAGCTTTTTGCACCAAGTTAAGGAATACAAAACTCGGCTTGGATCAAGGATGGGCTCTTGGTCACAAAAGAGAATCTTTTGTTTTTTTCCCCAAAATATTTCTGTTTTTTGATATGCCGCTCCGCGAGCAAAGAATGCCACGCACAAGCATAGCGAAAACAAAGCAAGAGAAATTCTTCGATTTTTTTGGAAGAAATTCTTTGATTGCGTATTGAATATAAATTCATGTCTTTTTTGTTTTGCTAGCTAAGACCAAATTCTCATTAATACATAAATTATAAATATTATATGATTAATATTTAATTTTTTATATTATATATTAAGACACGAGTTATTTCTAATTTCGTAATATAAGGGTGATATGACACTATTAATATCTTATAGTGTCACTATTCGAGAGTAAATTTCTAAGTAGGCTGCTGTATTCCCCTATGTCATACTTGGGCACCTTAGGCATAATGGGTGAGGGAACAACATCCGTTGCTATGAATATTTTTTCGTTGTGGAGGTTGTGATGTGATGCCACGTGGCTGTGTTGTACTTTTTTATTATTACACTAGCGGCGCGCGAATTTTAACGGTTAGGGTTTCGACTTTACACTCACTTGCCCATCATCTTTTACATAATCTGATGGTACCATTCGGACACTGAAAGAAATTCTGTCTGTTTCAATCTCATTTTGGTCCCGTCCCTTTCGATTCGAATCTGTTTGGTGGTGGTGCAGTTATGGGTTCTCTTCAACAGCCGTTTGGATCAAAGGATCGACTTTCCATTCAAAAGTGTGTGGTCTCAGCTTCTTCCAACACCAGGCCAAGTTCGGTTCGGTAAAGCCATGTAGATCGTCTCGAATCGAAGGGTGCTTAGGGACTGGGAGACCACATTCTCCCGTATCTGTTCCTGTGCCTGAAATTGCAGGTAATATGTTGTAAATGGCGAATTTAGGGTTCTATTGTGTGTGCATGTGCTAGAAATTTTCAAAACTGTTGCCGGGAGCGTGTGTGCGCGCCCTCCCGCCCGCGGACACAGGCTCGTTAGAACGTTTCTTTTATTACTTCTTTTTCTTTTCCATTTGTGTGTGTTGTATATTCAATATTGGATGTGGGAGACACAGGCTCTGTAGAACGTCTGCTTACAAGGATATGCGAAGGTTTTAGAGTACATGATCTAATTTAGGTTGGGTAATCATTCAAATTAAGAACAGAAGCTCGTTGGCTGCGGTTCGAGTGCATACATCCCTAGACAGGAGCGGAGCTAGAAATCTCTGCAATGAATAAAAATATAACAACATATTTAAATTTATTATATTATATTATATTTGATATTTGAAAGTTCATTAATTCAAAAGGACCAATATGTACATAACGTAAATAAACCAAAAAAAATTAAATAGAACCCTTGACAAAAAATGTGGTTAATTGCATACAATTGACCCCGACGAGTTTCTTATTTTGAAAGCGTTACTTGGTAATTTCATTATCAATACCATTATAAAAAAATTCTATATATACAATCAAGCTATAAGTTATTCATTATTAATCACTTATTTAATTATGTAACCAAGTTTTCACCATTTTCATAGCTTAAATAATTACAAAATGAGTCTAACATGTCAACAAGTTTTCTATATATGTTTATGTCCGTAATTTGTTTGCAGTGTGTGCTAAAATTTGTAATCATTTGATTTTAGGTCATAATAATTGATAGTACAAGAAAGTACTAGGGTGCACACATTTAACTATACATAACAATTAACATAAATATATATAAGTAATACATTTTGAAAAACAATCCAGGGTGGACCCTTTCCTCCTGGCTCCTCCCTGGTCCTAGAGCCCTTAAAAATAAGTCGAAAACTGAAATTCATAAAATTATTGGCCCCCCTCCATGGTACGGGGATAGATTTGTGTAGATTGCATTGGCATGATACATTCAAGGGAGAAATTGAATTTTATCTGCTTTTTTGTTCAAAATGTAGGATTGGTGAGATATGTATTTTATTGGCTATATCTAGAGTGGGTGCCTTGATTGAGGACTTATTGGTTAATCAATTTTTATTTGACGATATGAATTTTGGAAGTGGTGTTAGTAGATTTGTAAATCCTGCATTGCATTCCAAAAAAATAAGAATGTTATCTTATTGATTGAATAAACTAGGTAGGATTAAAAACTGTTCAATATATTGTCCTCTAAAGTTCCCCTAACATTACAAGTTGTGCTAACCCCATAATTATAATGAGATACAGGAAACTGGGAACATACAGTCCAATAAATGATAGTATGTGATGTTATATAATAACATAGCAGTTTGTTGAGCATCAGAATGGGGATTTGTACAGACCCCATTGCTACCTTATTTGACTTTCTTTAACGCATTGTCTTGAAACTCTTTTAAAAATAACCTTGCCTCCTTATGCACATCTATAGGGGGGGGGGGAGATCACTTCCAGTAGTCACTGAAGGCAGTGCCTTGACGCGCTGAGGGAGGAGTTTTTTTTTTTTTTTTTTTTTTGGGGGGGGGGGGGGGGTGGGGGTTGGTTGACATCTAAATGTAACTATAACTATATGTGTATACATGCTACCATGGTTCAGCAGTTGTCCTTGAATTGATTCTCTTTAATGAATAGCTTCAATTGCAAGTTAGAATGTCGAAGGATCAAATAGGAATGGACAATCTTATCACAGAAGTCAGAACTATGATGATCATGTGTTTGCTTTCTCCCCCCCCCCCCCCCCCCCTCAAAAACTAGCTTGATTATTGTTGTTTCGTACAAGGAAAATATCCTTGAACCATGCTTGTCGATATATTCCTTATTCACTAAAGTATCTGTGTTGATTTGTCTTCTTTCAGAAACCATAATCTCTTCACACTAAGTTATCACTTTTGATCACATGATATGCATCTGAGCCTTATTCGGTAGTGACAAAATTTTGCCGGATATAGTGTGTGTAGTAAGCTCTATACTGCACTTGTTGGTCCTTTGTCGAGTAGTACTATGTATGCATATCCCTATTCAGGCCAGAACATTTAAACTCTCTCACATTATTGATTCTATAATGTCAATGGATAGTGTGATCTCTACATCAATAGGTATCTTCTAATACATTCTTCCATGGTTATTGCATCATTGCCTTTAGCTTTGGATGCAAGCTAATTGGTCATAGTAAATGTGTTCCTGTCTTGTATCCTCATGCATGAGAATTGAAAATTGTGTAATTTTAGGTAATGGCAGCAGCTTTGCAGACTATGCCTTGGGTGAAGCTGATCCTGAAGTGCGTTTGATTATTGACAAAGAAAAGCAACGTCAATTTAAAAGTTTAGAGCTTATTGCCTCCGAGAATTTCACATCTCGAGCTGTGATGGAAGCAGTTGGTTCCGTCCTTACAAACAAGTACTCCGAAGGCCTACCTGGCAAAAGGTAAGCTATCTATACACAAGGAAAGTAATTTCGATATTGTCCAAACTTTGTCATGTTATTATATCTGTTTTTGATTATCAGGTACTATGGTGGGAATGAGTACATTGATGAGCTAGAAATTCTTTGTCAAGAAAGGGCTTTGGCAGCATTTCACTTGGATGGAAAGCATTGGGGTGTAAATGTTCAACCATTGTCTGGTTCTCCGGCTAATTTTGAAGTTTACACTGCGATTCTTAATCCTCATGACTGCATAATGGTAAGTCGAATGCTGAATACCTGCAATTTGGTAATTTAAATTGATTCAATTGAAAAGAACTAAAAATTGACTGTGTTTTAAGGCTTGGATCAATGTAATTTGTTGAGTAATGGACTTAGGGATTGGACTTGCCTCATGGAGGACACTTGTCCCATGGTTTCATGACTTCAAAAAGGCATGTATCAGGCACATCTATCTATTTTGAGTCCATGCTTTATCGGCTTGACGAATCTACAGGTGCTGCATTTCTAAGTTGATATATGGTGTTGAACATCTGATTCTTGATGTTTAGCCAAATTGGTATCTGATTGGAAGTTCACTTTACATTTTATACAGGCATTGTCGATTATGACATGCTTGAGAAAACAGCTAATCTCTTTCGACCGAAACTCATTATTGCTGGTGCTAGTGCTTATCCTCGAGATTTTGACTACCCTCGTATGAGAAAGGTACAATTATTAGGTTGCTGTGCATGTTTTGCTGCTTGTTGGTTATCTTCTTATTTAAAGAATTCTTTTTTTGTTTGCATATTTTAGTTTTCTTTGTTTTGTTTAGCATCTAATTAGCACCTCTGACATGTGTGGAAGATCGCAGATGCCGTTGGTGCTTTTCTCATGATGGATATGGCTCACATAAGTGGACTTGTTGCTGCTTCTGTGGTTGCTGATCCATTCGAGTACTGTGATATTGTAACTACAACAACACACAAGGTACGGTTTTAAACCATTCTTGAAAAAATGGTACCCTCATTATTTTCCAATACTTGATCAGATTATATGTTGAACTTGTGGTTTCATCATTGTTCTGTGGTATTTCTTACATTTATGCTGTGGTGCACTCTGTTTCCCACTCCGTAATTGTGTAATATTTTGTGTGCATAGTTTAGCGTGGGTACTTATCCATGCAATATGATCTATGTATCTGTAAGTAGTTTTAATTGCATAGCAAATTCCACCTTCATGTGCATATTAGTTCAATCTAAAAGTTTTAGTTACGAAGTAACTTCCACCTTCCATCTCATATTTCTATGCTCTTCCAACAAGTTAAACTTCTGCAGATAAGATTGTGGTTGAGGTCTTTGATTTTCTATCATGACTTCATTCAGTATGTTGGTTCTTTGTTTGGTACCAAAACTAGTGAAGAGATTAATTATTCAAAAAAAGGGTAAAAAAGCATGTTTTCGTTAAATTACATTAGTGAAGGATATGGCTCTTGATGGGGTTGGTAATAGGAGCATCCTTGTAGCTAACCCAAGTAGTTGGACTGATGGCTTCATTAAATTGAGTTGACCTGATCTATTTCTTATCAGAAAAAATTTAGTTGAGCTGCATTGAGTTAAGTTTTGAGTATCATCAAATTACTTTCTAATTAAACACAGAAAATAATAGAGGATGCTTCTAGGGTTGATCTTCATTAGCAGGTCTGGCCATGCAGACTGGAACAATGCAAAGCAAATCACTCTATTGAAATTTTTTATCTCATTCTTAATATTATACGGATCTAGTCTTTACAATGGCATCCTACAACCTTTGCCTGCCCTAATTATGATTTCAAAAAATCAAGTGAGGAAAAGTGAGATAATCAGAACGGATTGAGTGTATATGATGTCCTAATATGTATGAAATCAAGAACTTGAAAGCCATCAGGAAAATTAGAATGCCAGAAATAATGGGACATGGAAGTAGTACAAATTCCTATAGAGTTATCCTACCTAACTCCAAGAGGTATATTTCCACTTACTGTGTTAATTCAAAGCATCACTAGAGTGCCTAGATCATAAACTCCTTTTCAACTGAACATCAAAAGGTGGAATTGCAGAATTAAAAGCTTAGACCTGAGCATATTTCTATGAAGTCATAAAGCCACTTGCTGCCAGTGCAACTGATATCTCGTAGGCATCATACTTACGCTCTTGACAAGAATTTTGAATGAAGTGAATTAATAATTATGGTTCTGCTACCTGTTATAGTTAGAGGCTTAGAGCAGCTGTAGAGCTCTGGGATATTGATTAGCCTTGATTCTTGATGAATATTGGATGCATTTACGTGCATTGTATTGGGAGCATTTATAATGATATAAAGAAATGAATTAGAGTTCAGGTTGTCCTCGTTGCAGCTGAATTGTTGCAGAGAGAGGGAGCACTGCTCATTTTTTTCTTCCCTCCCTTCTCCTCTCCCCTGCTTCTGTTCTTTCTCTTTTTTGAATCAAAGTCCATTGGACAGTTTTCTCGAAATATCATCAGGAGTTTCTAAAGTATTGAAGCCTATAAGATTGAACTTTGCTCGCTTGACAATTCATTTTGAATACTATGTATCCCGTTCATTGTTTCTTGAGTCTGCAGACCAAGAATCCTTTGTGTCTAAAAGCAAAAGATGATCTTAGGAGATGTATCTACGAATGATTTTTTCTCCAGGGAAGGAGAATATTTACCAATATGAGAATGCTTTCCCAAAATTATTTCTTAAAATATATTTATGTTTTTCCTATTTGTTTTGTCTGTGCCACCACCTGACAATTAAATATTTGTCTCCAGTCTTTGAGAGGACCTAGAGGTGGAATGATCTTCTTCAAGAACGATCCTGTTTTGGGTGTTGATTTAGAATCTGCGATTAACAATGCTGTTTTCCCAGGCTTGCAGGTTAGTTGGACTTCCTTTTTGCTATATCAGCATGCATGTGAATGAGATCTGATTAGTTTCTTCTTGGACTTACTGTTTAGCTTCTAGGGTTATAGTTCTTTTTAAGCAGCAAAATGACAGGCAGTGAGTTATCTTGACAGGGTGGTCCTCATAACCACACTATTGGGGGACTTGCAGTCTGTTTGAAGTATGCTCAGTTGCCAGAATTTAAGGCTTATCAGAACAAGGTCCTCCCTTTTCCTTTCATTGTTAGGACTTTTCTATCTCAGATTTATTTTAATACCGCGACTATGTATTGTAGGTGGTTGCAAATTGTAGAGTTCTTGCCAGACGATTGATTGAGTTGGGGTATAAATTGGTTTCTGGAGGGAGTGATAACCACTTGGTCCTTGTGGATCTAAGGCCTTTAGTAAGTTTGATCATATATTTTTTTATTTTTCATTTTTTAACTCTGGATATTATCACTGCTTATGTAAATTCATTGGGTATTTTTCTCTGGCGTCTATATCCTGATACTAAAAACTAGAGATATAATTCCCATATCAATTCATTGTGTTATATGATAAGTCGGTCTTTAGAAAAATTCTGGGTATTAATTATTTATGTATATTTTTGTTGTTCTATGTTGGTTGGTTAATCTGTGCTGTGCATGGGATAAATTTAAACAGGATCATCGAAGAATGATAGCACTGTAACATGCAATTTTATATGAAGAAACAAGAAAAAATGAATCATAAATTAGAATCTGAAGGCTGCTCTCTCCTCATGAAGGCACACCACTGCACCATAATGTATAGGGATCAACTTGATCTTGTTTGCCAAGCTAAGCAAGGATTAAGTAACATTTACTTTCTCAACTCGGGGTATTGACGGTGCTCGGGTGGAGAAAATTCTTGATATGACATCCATTACTCTGAATAAGAATTCAGTACCTGGTCAGTTTATACCATGCAACTTCATCATTTGTATGTTTGTCCTTTTTTATGTTTTTCCAATTTTTTCCTTTCTACTTACTCATTACTCTAACCATTGCAGGTGATAAAAGCGCACTAGTCCCAGGTGGCATACGCATAGGGACACCTGCTATGACTACCAGAGGTTTCAACGAAGATGAATTCATGTCAACCGCAGATTTCATTCACGAGGGTGTTCAGATTGCTCTTGAAGCAAAACGATCTGCTCCAAGTTCTAAGCTCCAAGATTTCATAAAATTTGTAGCATCTCCAGATTTTCCTTTTATGGATCGGGTGTTAGATCTGCAAAGAAGAGTTGAGGCAATGACAACCAAGTTCCCATTGCCTGGTTTACGAGGGATTTAGTTGGACTTGAACAGTTCACATTCTTCATAAGAAAACAGGGATGAACTTGCCCAATGTTGTAAGGGCTGCGTTGTTAGAATGGCGTAATTAAGAATCTTAGATTATGGATTTTGGATATTGGGTTAACAATGGTTACATGCTATTTTGTGTATACTAAGAGTATTGCTTATCGTGAGAATAATTTTGTGGAAACAAAAGTATTTGGAGTCATCTACCCTCTCTCTCATTTATCAGAACTGGCAAGTTCTTATTTTAGTTTACGAGAATTCTATTTGGATTTAATTTAGGGACTTAATTCAATGTAACCATTGAATCAAAAATGGGTTTTAACTAAGATTGGAATTTACTAATAATTCTTGCATTGAATTAGATTCGATTAGGTCCATATAGTGTTGCTCATTTAGTTTAAGCCGGGGGTATTTGAACCTAATAAAAGTAGAGGTAATTGAGCTCCAATAAAGCGAACCTCTAAAATTATTATTATTATTTTTTTTTAGGTGTTCAAACGTGCGTTAACGATCATGTTTATACGTAATTTCCTATTACTTTCTTTGTACATAATTCGCTAGAGAAGAAAGATGGTTTTGTAAAAAAATATTTTTGAAGTTAGAGAATATTTATTTATGATTAGAGATTTGGTAAAATGTTTTTGAAGTTAGAGAATATTTATTTATGATTAGAGATTTGTTTGTACTTAAAAGCATGATTGATTTTATATAGTACTCTCGAACTCGATTTGAAATTGACATAAAATTAATAAATTTGATTTTATGTTAGCTTATTTGAATGATAAATAGATGAACATATTAATCCTGTCAAATAAATGATAGAGATAAATTTAATTAAAAATAATTTGAATATGCCAAACATTATTTATATACAACACAAATTTGATACAATACAAGCTCAGTGATATACGACTTTAACTAGTGTTTGTTGAACAAATATTGACACAACACGATTTAAACACAAAAAAATCTGGCACAATAAGATCCATTGCCAACTAAATTTGGCAGAAATTAATGAACACTAAAATTGAAAGAATTTAAATTCCTTGAATTTCTGAAACAGCTTTTTGTTCTCAAAATTTAAAAAACACTCAAAACCTGTTTGTTTAGCATTTTTGTTCTCTAAATTTGGAAAAAAAATGAGATTTGAGTCAAAGAAACAGAAAATAAGTGTAACTTGTCTTCAGAGTTTTCTTTGAAAATTTTGGAAATAAGAAGAACAATATATATACATATATACACACACACACATATATATAAATAAATAAATATATATATATATATGGGTATATATATTTATTTATTTAGTTATATATATGTATATTTATGCATGTATATATAAAAACATATATACGTATATATATATTGTGTGTGAGGGGTGTATATATATATATATATATATATATTATAAGTTTGGTTATATATATATTTAAAGAATTTGTCAATCTAAAAATATTTTTTTTATATTTTTTTATTAATATTTGAATTACTGTTCAAATATATATTTAGGCTATCCAAACAGGTTTTACTATTTTCTGTATTGTAAAATTGTTTTTGAAATCATCTAATCAAATAAGTTTTTTATCTCAAAAAATATCAAAACCACTTTCTTAAAATTTTTCTCAAAAATTATTTTCGGATACTATTTTTTGAAACTCAAACCAAACAGGCCCGATATTTTATTAGTTTTTTTGTTCTTCAATTTTTGAAAATTTTTGGGAATTGAAGTATGATTTTAGAAAACAATAAAATAGTGCTCTCACTATTTTCTAAAGCAAAATGAAAACATGGGTTCATCTCCAAATTAATGAGGTCTTCCCTTAAAGTTTGTTGGAAACAAAATATGGTGACTGAAACTTCTTCTCCATCGCTTGCTCACAACTTTCCCTCTCTCCCTCCTTCTCTCTCTAATTTAGCATCAAATCTGTGCATGTCTGTGTGCGTAAGTGAATGTATATACACAAATTGCGAACACCTGTAGCATACTCTCTCTCATGCGACTCATTTACTCTTTCTCTATCTGTCTCAATGGGCAACATATGTGAGTGTGTGGGTTTTGTGGGGATCTATGTGTGTGCGCGCGTGATGGTTGTGTTGTTTGCTGTATGTGTGGGTGTGTGTTTGTTGTATGTGTGGGTGTGTGTTTGTTGGGTGAGAAGATAATGGAGAGAGAGAGAGAAAGATTTTTATAGTGATATATGTTTTTTTTTAGGGCAGTGATAAGTTAAAAATTAATTTTATGGATCATTATCTAAGCAGGTTTTTTTATTTTTTATTTTTTAAAATTATTTTTAAATAAATAAGTTTTGTAATATAAAAATATCAAAAAATATTTTTTTAAAACTTTTCTTAAAAATTATTTTCAGATATTGTTTTTAGAGATACTAATCAAACAGGGCCGAAAAATTCCTATGGGCCTTTGTTCAAGTGATAAAGGGGCCACAGGTTGTGTTGGGTAACTTTTACTGAGCCCAAGTAAAGCCCACTTGGGCCTCATCATCTTCCTTTTCTCTCGGTCTCTCCTACGAAATTTCTTCACTCGAAGTAACCAGCAGAACAGAATCACAGAATGCTAGGGTTTTAGAGAGGACGTTCTTCTCCAAGTTCCTGCAGCAAAGCTCACAGAAGGTTACTACCTAAACCAAACCCTAATTTCCTGTCTTCTAATCTTAGAAATCATTTTGATTGCAACGAAAATATGGTTTTTGTTTTCCGGAAACATTTTCTTTTGCTTTATAAAACTAAGATGTGCGTACTTTTAGCATTCAAAAGTAGGAGATTTGAAGCCATTTTTTCAATTCATATATTTTTTTTTGTTTAGTTCACCTTTTGTCTGGTTGCTGAGAAAGCTAATGGGAAAATGTAAAAAACAAAAACCATGTTTTGTGTTGCTATGTTGCTTAGCTGAGCGGAATAGTTTTAGGAGGTTCAATTGAATAGAGCTTTTTATTTAAGAGTTTCCTTTATTTTCCTGCACTTCTCAGCAACCATGCATTTTTTTTTTCTTTCGATCTTGTATAATTATTCTGATCACATAAAAAACCACTTGATTTTGCATATTTCTAGTCATGGGCAAAAAGGGATTGTCGAAAAAATCTGCAAGAGTGCCCAAGAGCTCTGCTGTGGAGCAGGAGAAAGCCTCTTCATCTACACCCAAAGAGGCTGGTAGTGATTCTTTGTCTGGACCCAAAAAAGCTGCTAATGACTCTTCGCCTACACCCAAAAAAGCTGGTAATGAGGTTGACAAAATCTTTGCCGTCAAGAAGAGGAAGAACCGGGAACAGGAAAAGGCCGAGAAGCCGGCAGAAGATGCGTCTGCAAAAGGTAAGAAATTGAAGAGAAAGAAAAATAAGAAAAAAGATCCCATAGAAAGCAATGGGTTTGTGGGTGAGACAACTCAGCCAATGAAGAGAACTGGGGATGGGCTATCTCTATATACAGAAGAGGAGTTGGGGATTGGGAATGCAAATGCTGGAGGTACCCCTCTTTGTCCCTTTGATTGTGATTTCTGTTTCTGGTCCGGAGACTCATCTTTATTCATTGTAAGTTGCTTCCTTGTGATGAAGTTTTGGAAGTCCTGGGAAAATTGTTAGTTTTGTAATTCAATATTACAGTTTTGGTGTTTCAGTTTGTGAGGTTTCATGTGTGGTTTTCCTTTTTCAAATTGTAAACTAGGTCCAGTGTACAAGAAATTCGGCTAGAATACAACTATACAAGTCTAAAAATTATCGATCTGATGATTGAATCCATTAGTATTCTGGACGTGATTATTTGCAACTACTTCAGTGAATATTTTCGTGATTTTTGAGAAACTAGTTATGCAGCAGTTGCAGTGTCTCTGTTGATATTATATTTGGATGACTTCATTTTAGAGCGACTACATTTTGTTTGGAAGTTTACAATAGTGCATTCATTGCTTTCACTTGGTGTGGGATGGTTTTGCAAAATTTGAGACACATTTAAAACAATATTGTTCTTGTATGTTATGTGATGCCTTAAAATTATTGGCCAAAGTCCTTCATTCATGCAAGTAATCAGGTCGATCTTAGGGATGTAGTTGTAAGTACAAACACATAATGGTAGGAGCCTAGGAGGAAATCTGTCTTGTAGATTGGAACCCTAATGATTATGTGTTGTGGATGTTGCTTTTATGAAGCTTGATTTATCTTAATTCTTGAGTTCATGTAGATTCTTCAAAAATGCTAATAGTTCGTTTTATGATGAGATACATGCTGAATATGGTTATCACTCTAGCTCGTGGGAGCTAAAGTCCATGAACCATGTTATGAAGTTACGTAATGTGAGGCTATATTTTGTTTCTCCTTTATTTGGCTTCTTCTAGGATAGAAATTACACTCGGATCACTACTACTCTGCTGTGGTATTTATCATGGAATTTCCACGATCAGGTAGAACCCAACAGTTGTGAAATTCTGTAGAAATTTGATCCAGTCACTGCTTAAGTTTGTAGTGGAAGAAGAAAGCTTTTAAGGCATCAAATGGATTAAAGAGAAAAAGGGGGGAAGGGGGGGGGGGGAGAGGCTTTTGGAGATGTTTTTAATATCATGTGATTGCATTCTTTGTTGTCCAATACGTTTTTGAATTTCTTCCCCATTTACCATATGTTTTAATCTTTTTACCCATTCTACCCTACTTTGAATCTTATTTCTCAACCTACCTTAGTTTTAAAAGCGTGTTTTTAAAGGCACACGTATTGTAGTAAAAGTGTGTTTTCAAAACATGTCTTTAGTCAAAATTCGCTTCTACTCATCTTTGATTCGGCCAGTCTCACTAGTTCCAGCATTGGATGACAAGGGGTTGTGGGTCATTGACTCTTCTGGCATTTTCGCGTAAATATTATTTCCACTTGTTGACTGATAACCCACCTTCTTCAATTTTTGAGCCCCATTGGATGATTTGGAAGGTAAAAGTGTTTGTTAAGGTGCAAATGTGTGATTTGAAGGTGGCTGCTCACTGTAAGATTAATACCTATGATTTATTTCAAGCTGAAGACCGAATATTTGTCTTTCTCCTCGACTGTGCGTTATGTTCAGGATGAATTGTAAAAGTGTGGGTCATCTATTTATCTATTGTCCTATGGCTTTGAACTTATGGAATAAGCTTATAAAGAGTTTACCTTGAGTTGGGTAACTCCCAAGAGATTGTGTTTAGTGTGGGACTGTGGTTATGACGATTACTTCGAATGACAATACACATCCAGTAAATGTTTCCAAACGTATTTCAAAATGTAACTATGGTGCTATCTGGATGCTTGTTGTGCCATTGCAATTCACGAGGTCACATTAGCACCCGAAGTTCACCTACTATATCATGAAGACTATTAGGATAAGTTGACTGGTCCTAATTGCGCCCAAACCCTGCTTTATGCCAAATGATGGATTTTCTGCAATCGATTGCATACAAAATGAGATGGATTTTAGAGAAAGACATACAACAAATCGATGCAGCTTGTGTGAGCAAATGGTTCATGATTGATGAACCTGTCCAGCAAGAGATCAGCAAGCCCCGGGTTGGGATCAGTGATTGTACCGGTGATATTGATTTTTATTTGAGTTTTTCTGTAATGTTTAAGTTCAGTCAATGTACCAAGTTGTAAACGTTGTATTATTCAATGTGTAATGTATAATGCTTTGTAATTATGTCTGTCACCATGATATTATTCTTAATTTTGTTAATTCATACTAGATATGGAGCATCAGCTGGCTCGTGACTTGGTCCACGCTGGACCTATTGATCTGTCAGTTTTGTACTTACAAGCAGAGCATCGGTCTACTACTATATGGGATGGACAGGCATGTTAATTGCATCAATAATTCCCATCTCAAAACTATTTAGCTTCATCATATACATGCTCATAAATACATTGAAAACTTATACACAAACTCATATTTGTTGTAGGACCTTCCACCGTTGCAGTGTCGTCGATCTGAGGCTACGTTACGCCGCTTACACGCTCCTGATGACAGGGTTTTACGTCGTGTATTGAGGGCTGGATTTTATGGCATTCATCGGATTGGTTTTATTCGTCTTGATTGGCACTTGGTGACTGCACTTATTGAGAGATGGAGAGTTGAGACTCATACGTTTCACCTTCCCGTTGGCGAGGCCACTATCACGTTACAGGACATTGCTGTACTATTGGGGCTTCCCATTGACGGTGCGCCAGTCACGGGTGATGATGCACAGCGCAGCGTGTCACAGTGGCAGGACATATGCGAGCGCTTATTGGGCTTCAGACCACCAGAGACTGCCATTGAGGGCTCCAGACTTAGGATGAGTGTGTTGGGTGCTCGTTTTGCTGCTCCCATACCTCAGGATGCTGATGACGTAACTGTGGATCGTTACGCCCGGGCATACATTTTGCTGTTGATTGGGGATGCCTGTTTGCTGACAAGTCT